TTTTTTTTTTTTTTTTTTTGCAGTTTTTTGGATGGGGCTGGGTTTGAACCTGCCATCCCCAGTATATGAGGCCAACACCCTACTCCTTTGAGCCACAAGTGCCGCCCAAAACACATTCTTCTCAGTAAAGTATCACAAGAATAAAAAAAGCAAATATTCAATTACTCAATAGTAATACGAAGCCAGTAAATAATCTAATTCACACTCACATAGAAGAAAAACTCATTTCAATACAAGTTGGGGAGAAGGGGAATGAAGGCAGGGGAAAGGAGAAAAGGGGGTGTTAGGGTGCTCCCATTTATTTGGCATATGTAGGGGTGTATGGTACACCTTTTGGATGTAGAATACAACTATAAGAGAGACTGTACCTAACAAATTCAAAATTGTGACCTGGTTGTTTATACCCTCACATTAACCTGAAATTTAAAAAAAAAAAAAGGTAATAATAAATTAATTAATAAAATACACAGACACCATCTTAAGGGTAGCTAAAATATAAATAATCAGGCATGCATGACACTACCAAAAGAAATCATGAGCCAGCCAAAGGGAAAAAAAAAAAAAAAACAAACATAACATAGAGATTTGTGAATTTCCTTACCAAAGGGGGGAAAAAAATCTAAAATATCAATCTTGAAAATGCTCAATGGAATATCAAAGAACACAGATAGACAACCAAAAGAAATTGATAAAATAATACATGAATAACAAAAAGAAGTTTGATAAATAAATAGAAACAATATAAAAAGAATTAAACAGAAATCCTGGAGGTAAAAAATTTAATGACAGAACTGAAAAATAAAATAAAGAGTTGAAGACTCTATCATGCAGAAGAAAGCAATGGTTTATTTGAAATTAGTTAATTAAAGGTAAAAGAAGAAAAAAGAATAAAAAATAGTGAGAAAAGCATAAGGTATCTTGGGACACGATAATATAAATGAATATACAAATTACAAAAATCCCAAAACCAGAGGGAGAGAGAAAAAGGGAAAAGAGCTTAATTAAAGATATAATGACTGAAAATGTCTCACAAATTTGGAAAGTATATGGACAGAGACTTGGAAGATTCACTGAGCTCCAAGGATTCCAGGCAGGATCAACCCAAAAAAGAGTAGTCCAAGAGACATTATAATCAAATTGTCAAAATTCAAATACAAAGGGAGATTCTTAGAAGCAGGAAGAAAAGAAAAAGAGAGACTTGTCACATAAAATGGTTTTCAACAGATTTCTTAGTAGGAAATTTGCAGGCCTGGGGAGAATGCTAAAAGTTTTTGCTAAGTGTTAAAAGAAAAGGTCTGTTGATCAAGAATACTATACCCAGAAAATCTGTCTTCAAAAATGAAAGAGAAATTCCAAGGCAAACAAAAGCAGAGAAAGTTCATTACCACTAGACCTACCTTAGCAGAAATGCTAAAGAGATTTCATAAAGTTGAAATAAAATAATGCTAAGTAAAACCATAAAACATTTAAAATATAAAGCTCACTGGTAAAAGTAAACAAATATCAAATTCAAAATGCTCTAATATCATAGTGGTGGTGTGTAAATCATTTTAAGTCTAGCATAATGGTTATAAGACAAAATATCAAAAAGAAAAAGTTACAATTAAAAACTTACTAATAGAAATAATTTAATAAAGGTTACACAATATAATGACATAAAATTTTAGAGGTTTTGTATGAATAGATGCTGTTATCAATTTCAAATAGCCTGCTATTGTAAGATGTTTTATGAAGCCTCGTGATAACCACAAAGAAAAATCCTGAACTTAAACAAAACATAAAAATTAAGAAATTAAAAACTAGCACTACAGAAAAATCATCTAATCACAAAAAACACATCAAGAGGGGAATTAAAAAACAAGGAATTGATAAAAAACAAATAAGAAACAATTTATAAAATAGCTGTACTAAGCCCGTACCCATAGATATTTGTTTTAAATATAGATGATTAAATTATAATTGAAAGATAGAGTAGCTGAATGGATTTTACAAAAGGTAGTATTCAACAAAATGCTCCCCACAAGATACTCATTTTACTCCTAAGGACATGTCTAAGCTGGAAGTGCTGAAGATATTCCACGCAAATGGTAAACAAAAGAGAGCTGGAGTGGCTATATTTGTATGGAACAAAACAAA